GCAGCAGGGCATAGCCTCCACTCCAAACACTGCCGCACCCGCATCCCGCGCCCCGCCCCAACTACCTCCCCAAGTCCCGTGCCCCACGCCCCAAATGGGCAGCTTGTCCCAGCCCCAATCCCTCCCTCCCCCTCCTCCAACCCCAACAGACTTACCAGCTGGAGGCAGCTGTGTCAGCTACCTGTTTAGTGTATCGCCGAATCTTTTCTGAATCTTTTCCGAATCAATTCGGATGCTTTGTATCAATTCAGAGCTTTTAATTGGTCTCCTGATTTGATTTGGATTCGGAGATTTGTTCCCCAAATCCAGCCTAATCTCCTTGGAATTGAATCAGCTACCAAGGATTCGCACAGCCCTAATACAAATGTCACAGGCAGAGCAATAAACTATCATTAACATGATGCTTTGACCCATGGTCTGTTCTCACTGGGGTGCTTACCAGTTGCCATTTCCATTTCTTCTCCTAAATCATGATGTGCAATTATGCTGAAAGGACACTGAAAGATTCCCGCATCCTAAGAGGACTCATTCTTAACTATTGTGGTTGTAAATGGGGGAAAAGAGCACAGCAAAGTATACTGTGCATGAATGAGACATCTTGCTAATTTTCCCTGCTATAATTTAATCTTTATTTTTCTTTTCATCCTTAACAGGATTCCGTTGGTGAACCTGTAAAAAACAAAACGGACAAAAATATTAATGGGTTACCTGTACCTACCCAGTTCTGTTTACCGGTAGGAGACTAAAAGAGCAGCACTCTATGGGCCAAATATATTTTTATAAAAATGAACATGCCTATAGGTAACTGCATTTTCAAAGAGTGCATTTTTTTGAAGAAGAGAAAAAAATGTGCAAGCAAAGAATCTCTGTGAAGAAGGATGAAGTCGAGAAGAAATGAGGCAAAGGACCGAACATCTGAAGTTTGGGATATGGACTGTGATTCTGAACCTGTGCCAATAATACCATTATGTGCCATGTACTGATGTGAAAGACTTCGCAGCAAGCCGAAGCTAAGTGAATTACACATAGACATATTACAGAAAATAGGGGTGGGGTATCTCTTCTGATAGAGTCAATATTTCTGGTCAATATACATATATACATATATATAAATATATATATATACAACACACACACACTTTTTTGTACTGTAGCAATTTTTGAAGATCTTAAATGTTCATTTTTAAAAAAGAATTGTGTCATGGGCTACAAATCTGGTTTCCTTAACATGCTTAGTATGAACTAAATAAACTGATGTTTTCTACTTCGGCAGCTTGCCTTTCAAACATATATATTTATATGTATAAAGATATATATACATATACATATATATACACACACATACACACATAAACAAATACACACACACACACACTTGAAATACATTTCCACTAGTGAACATATTATTTGTAAAGCCCAGTAAACAATTGATAACGGAGGCTTCCCTGAAGAGTTTTGGAAGGTCGGTGAAAATAACAGTTCTCTTTTCCATGGTAGAATTGCCACGGTGCTAGCAAGAACGGGAAGAGAATGTCTTTGGCTGAAAGCTGAATTTTATGAAATTGCTCACAGTGCAAATATCAGGTGGTTCTGACAGTTCTCAAAAGAAAAGTGTGTTTAATAGTATTCTAGGCTGAGTCCAAGAGTATTTTGAATACAACTGAAAATATGCATTAGGCTCCAATTCACAAAGTGCACTCTTGTTTTTGTGAATTAAAACAAAGTCCAAATGTAAACTTCGAAGGAGTGAAGTCAGTGGAAAATCCCATGAACCTGGCCACTCAGATATTTGCATGCTGAACCCCCAACTCAAGTGCTAGTGCTGCTGTGAAACAGCAATGAACTGGAAGAGTGATCTGTGTTTGGAGGGTAAATTTAAAATCAAACTTTGTTCCAAATATCCCAGATATATGCACTGAAGTGGTGTCAACTCCAGGTGAACCTTCATGTGCTTGCCAGTGTTACCAAAAATTATCACATGTTTTTGTAAAAAAAACAACCAACCAACCAATCCATACCTCCAGACCCTCTCCCCACCTTCACTAGAAATGCATGCACCAAAGTGATCGAGTAATCCTAGACTTTGCCAGATTAAAAGGTAGGTTGCATTGGATTGCTGATTACCTTGCCAGATTAAAAGGTAGGTTGCATTGGATTGCAGGGAACCTAAAAATGAAATCTGAATTCAGCATCTGTGCCATTTAGTAGATAATAAATGTTGGGTAGACTTTGCAAACGTACACAACTGGGGACAGTGGCAAGAGCTATTGTTACTGAAAACAAGTTGTAGCTAGGAAGAAGTTACTACAAAAAGTGAGCAGTAAACTTTTTTATTTTTTTAATTCATGTGCTGACAAGTTGGATAGAAGAAAGGCCTGAAAACAACTGGAAATTCCCTTCATTTTGTAGCGCTCTAGTCTCTATCTGTATATTTATGGTGTTATACATATGTGCTGGCCAGAGGTGAGTCTAAACATTACTCTCTCTGTGGAAAAACATAGAACTTCCCACCTTTGAAACCACGTTGCATTTCACTAAACTCCATCTCATCTTACTGTGGGAAGTTATGAGTCAGCCTTCACACAAAACTCCTGTAGTGCTGAGGGGGGAAAGCACAGGCTTTGCCTTTCCCTCCCTAGCTACTGAAACGTGGCTGCAAATCTTCCGGGCAGCTTCCGAAAGATGAATCCATCTCGGTTGTGGCCAGCCCCTCTGATGTGGCTTACTATGAATGTTCATGTGGTGAATTTTATCAGCACAAACACACCCAGAAATGAATCTTACAGTCAGATGTGAGAGTATATGTGGAAATTGAATTTAAACTTCTCTGTGCAGAGCATAAATATTCATACTCATTCAGTTGAGGGTAGGGACACAATGAACTGGCAACAGACTGGATCCAAAGACCACCAGGTCATTTGGTGCCTTTCTACTGGCTTCAGTGGGTATGGATTAAGGTGCACAAAAATACAGCTCTACACAGCTGTTTAGGAAAAAACGATAGTATTCAAATGTCTTCATACCAGCTCATCTTTGTACCAGCTCAACCAGTCCCAGCACTTTTGTTTTGGGGGTTAATTTTTGGCCAAGGGTAATGAACTATTTTTTAACATAATGACTTACAGAGTAAAATTCACCATACAAATCTTTCCGGTGGGACTAGGTTCTGATCATTAGTGCAGCCAATTGTGATGTGCTGGGTAGCTAGGTCAAGCCAAAGATAATTAGGTTTGGCTGTCATCTTTAAATAGGAAGGAGCAGAAATAACTATAATCCATGAATATCCACTTACGGTAGCTGATATCTATCCAAGAACAGCTTCTACAACTTAAAAGATGTCCCATTGCCAGCATATTTTGGGCAATGTTTGCAAACAGTTTCAGGAGCTCCTCACATTTCTAAAATCTGACCTCCCCCATGCCTAGAAGAGGGCATCCACCATTTGAAGAACAGCTTTTCAAATGTTTATATTAGCTATTTATTCTTGAATGGAATCTTCTTGCTATTTCTAACTGAAGCATTTACCCCAAGTGGGCTATATAACTAAAGGAATGTATTCTGCCCTCTTTTACGCTTGTACAAACCTACAGAAACCTCAGTGAAATGAATTGCAATGAAATTAGTATACATTTAGAAGAGCCTAAGTTAACCAGACTCTAGCCCCATGGTTGCAGGATCTTCCTTGTAAGCCGCCTCCATAAGCAACGGCAATTTGTTGGAACTATGCAGAACAACATTCATATTCATATATTAAATAGATGACTCACTTTCTGTATTCAACTTAATATGGGAAGTATTCAGAAGAAAGTGGATATGTCCCACCTTTTATGTGGCTAATAGTGTATATTACAGCCCTGAAAAACATGATAACTTTTGCAGTCCCCCTGCTTCTACAGTATTTTCTATCCCTTTCATATGCTACTAGGTGTTTTTTATTTACAATCTGCTCTGCTCAGCTCTGGAAAGAAATCTTCATGGCCCTGCTCCCTTCCCTCCTTAGGGCATATGGGCCACACTCCAAGCCCTTTGAAGGCAATGGAATGACTGTAACTTTGAGGGGCTTTAAATCAGAAACACCACTTCCTATTGAGCTGGATCACACATAGAGTCTGGTATTTGATAAGAAGGATGAGCATAGATTATTTTTTGTCAGCATGTATTATCTTACATTCTCCTATGTTAAATTCTACCTGTCATTGTGCTGCTTGACATGTACAGTGTTAATGCCCAGGCCTTTCAATGGACTTCACAAGTTTTATAAAGCCACCTATCAAATGAGTTTTATATACTCAGCCTCCACTTTCCACACCTAAACTGACTGCCACAGCAACCACCTACTTATCTCTTTCCACCTCCTTCAACCATACAGTGGGGCCAGTTTCCTAAAACACCCAGTCAGCTTGTATCCTCTGACAAAATTTTGCTCCTTATTTAAGAACCATTTATTTCCTTCAGGCAAAATTTCATTCCTCTTGAGTAGCACCTCTTGACTTCAGGGAGGTTGCTTATAGAGATGGGTTCTGTTCAGTGGACACATCTACATAGGATGCTATGTTGCCATAACGACAAGCTATGGCAATGTAGCTCATTGCTATGTTGACATAGCATCAGTGGGCACTAACTATGACGCCACCATTACTGCGCAGTAGGGTTGGAAATGACCTGTGCGCTGCCAGTACTGCACAGTCCCGGCATGTGTAGATGCCCCCAGTATGTAGTAGATTATAAGAATGTTGACCTCCATCATCTTTTCTGGGGGAACCTAGCAATTTCTTTTCCTGTTTAGCACATCCAGGTAAATGATGTCCCTTGGGCGAAGTAATCTAGTATCAGGTAGATTATTTCAAACATTTCTAGGGTTAGACAAGCCTGTAGGGTTATATAAACTTCCCCCAGTTGTCTACTGTGCTGTATGCAGCTAGACACTTCATTGTATCCAGGTTAGGTTTGCTGGTGTATAATTCCCAAGACCTGTTTTTTTTAAGGTAGAAACATGCTGATTATTGTAGGCAAAAAGAGTAAGTGTGCACAGGATTAAATGTACCCACGTGCACTGCCTCTCCAGCACTTAAATCCTGTTTATGCCCTATTTTGAGGGATTAAACAGGATTTCAGTGATGCACAACCTTTGTTACCAGGCCTTCTGCATAGGGGAGAATTTTGCACAGAAGGAGTGGACTCCTTCAAAAGACTTCTCTTAGGAAAAAAAGTATACATTACCTTCCCAAGTGCTTTGCCTCCATCTTCCCTACACATGACTGCTGTCAAAGACAGAAGTTGCCAGATCTTTCCACATTCCCCAACAGAGTACTAAACAATGGCCACTGCACAATATTATTCTTCCTTCTCAATTCTATTTCACTGAGGTGGTCTGTCCATCCAATGTGTAGTCCCAGGCCTAATGATGAAAGTACAACAGAAGATTGTTTTAGAAGTACTTAATTAAAGCATAATTGACTAACCTCTTTATTATTAATTCTACTAATCATCATTATTGTTTTTTAGCTGGGCCTGATTGGTCTCTCCTGCATGCTGGAGAAAGTCAGGTGTAATTCTCTTTGTAGTCAGTGGGGTTACACCTGGGTAAAGCAGGTTGAAGCGAGAGGACAGTCAGCCTACAGTATTTACGTGGCATAGTTCCACTTCAGTCATCTCTGTCTGTGGCAGTAGATTATAATTAACATACAATTGGCTTTAAACAGTCCGTAGCACCACCTAGTGCACTAAACGTACTGTCTGTGCACTAATCACATTGTATGATATACTTAATAAGCAAGAGTTAAAAAAAGCAAACCATTAAACCAAAACTTGCACGATTAATGTGATTCTGGGTGATTACTTTGGTGTAATCAGTTGATTCAGTATACTGGGGGCTTTGTATTTTATCAGTGTAAACAATGCAGTCCACACAAACAACCAAAACTCACTATCACAGAGTATATGAATTTCTCTTCCTTTTACTTACGTTGCATTGATCCACTTTCAACCATGAGGACTATCTATGTGTGTTATATTTTACCCATTGATCTTCTATTTATTTGTATCTGTTGGCTGCACTGAGTAGTTCTTGTGGGTATTCTAATGTAATCCTAATAGCAGTTTGACATCATAAAACATATTTAATTTCCCTCTTTCAAAAATGTTTGAAGTATTGTTATATATTTATGCATCTGTTGAATTTGGGTCCTTACTAGACTGTTATAAGTGAGAAAGATACAGTTATGGAGGGGAGGTGGGGGTGAATGTTATATTCCTCACTACCATAAGCAAGAGGGGCCAAAACTCCTGTGGGATTAGCATCCAATAAAAAAAAATTGTCAAACAAAGGCAAGGGAGGGAATACTGTTGACCTCATCCAACTCGAGCAAGATCTTATCTTCATGAGCTTTCCACTTACTCTGCAGAGACAGAATCAGTCACTGTGAGACCAGCCAGTGACAGAACAGAAGCAAAACTATATGCACAAACTTCCCTTATTTATAAGGACCAATGGCACTTGCACTTTATCAGAGGAATATTCACATCCCTATGCATGCTGAGCAAACCAAGAAAGAGAGAAACCTGTAGAACCACCAGCAGGAGAGCACTGCAAACACACTGATTGCCATGCAGGACTGTAGTGTCCTGACCTTTTGTATGGTTAAAGAAAAAAAAAAGCATTTAATCCGTTCCCTGTAATTGAGGGAAGCCAAAAAAATATAGAGAGTAATATTTTTGAGTGGGATTGATGCTTATCTGTTTTTTAGCTGTTATGTTACAAAGAACATGTTCACCCCACACTTTATCAGATGATACAAAGCAGCAGGCATGTTCTTCTGTTTAGATTTATTTTATTCCCACAGCCAGATTTTCCCCATGAGAACCTTACAAAATCAGCAGTCAAAATCAGCCATCACTTTGTATGGATCTCCTTTATAAGGAGCAATTGCAAAAGGCAGATACTCAGCTGGTGGTACCTGGCCCTGTTCCACTGACACTAGTTTACACAAGCTGAACATCTGGTGTGAAATTCATAACAGCAAATGAGCAAGTTTCTGCAACTACTTACAGAATGAGCCCCTTTACACCTGGGAGCCATTCTTTTGGGTTCTATAGGACTTACTCCTAGGAGAAAAACTACTCATCTTCATGATTATAGAAAGAGGCTCTAAGATCACAGTTTGTATCATGTTCTGGAGCCAAACCACATTCCATCGAGTGTGTGATTACCATACCTCAAAATGCAGCATTGTGTTCTTTGACAATTTGATTTTATTCATATTCTTTGAGGCAACATCTCTTCCCAATCCTGAGCAAGGAGGTCAGGTCAAATCTCCTGTAAATATATGCAGTCTATCCTGGGAGGTCATGCTTTGCTACAGTGTCATGCTATGGAATCAGAGGTATATATTTCTTGTGAATAGATGAATATATAATAAATATAGATAAGCAACCATATATACTCAAAAGGATAGTGTTCCAAAGGGATCTGGTGACACTGTGAACAGCCAAGACTGGCTGTTTACATACAGAGCCCTGAGACCGAGTTGTGTTGCTGCATACATGTTTCTTTTATATATATATATATATATAGATCTATATATACATATGCAAATTTTAGAATGTTTCTTTCTGGAGTTGTTTGCAGTTTATATTCCATGGACCTGATTCTGCTAAGTGCTTAGCACCTCCTGGACCAAATTCTGTAAGCCCCATTGTCATGTGATTTCAGTGGGAGCTGAGGGCACTCAGCACCAAATCGGGTCATGACCCTGACCACACTTTTCCAAAACATCAGAGCATGGTACTGCCAATGTGGGGTCCTAGTCATGTGTGCAGAGGTGCATAAGGCATGTATGAGTGCAGGACAGGGAAGCGAGACTTCTTGGAGTCCTAACCACAGCTGCAGCAAAGACTCAGTGAGTGGCTTAGGTGCAAAGTGCTGGACCTGTTGCCCTGAGTTCCCCCACCTGTAAAATGGGGATAATAATACTGACCAAACCTACCTCACAGGGGTGTTGTGAGGATTAATTAGCTGATGTCTGTACAGCTCTTTGAACCTGTAAAGCATTGTATAAGAACTAAGTATTATTACAGCTGTTACACAGTTAATCCTGTAGTATGGAATGCCAAGCTGTCTGCAAATCTGTAGGGACCCAAAGAGATCATAGCTGCGTTACTGATAACATACTGACGTCTTGCAGTGATAGATGTGTGCGTCACTCATACATGACACCAAGGCTGGGTCACAAGCCAAATGTGCACATCTTAATGACCAGCATGCGCCGTTTCCTCAACAACATAGATGTGATTTTCTTTCCAATGCATTACAGACAGAGCAGTTCCACCAAAGAGCTGTGCTGTTCACTATACCAGAAAACTTCTGCTAGTTCCTTTGAAATTCCATTTGGTTCCTTCTGCCCATGAATACACATGATAGCCACCATTTATAATGTTATAAAATCCCCTAAGAGAGATCTTTTCTCAGCCAAGTGCATCTTTAAAGAAAAGGGGTGGGAGAGCTAAGCACAGATACACACGGGACATGCTCAAACACTTGCCTGAACCAACTGGCAATTTGATCTTAGCCCAAGATTTTGAAAGAAGTTTGGTTCACTTTTTTTGTACAAAAATCCTGAGGGTCACTCCTCCTCTCAAGCCTGCCAGCAGGGACTGATTGCATCAGCAGAAGTTTGCAGGAGTCTTTCTTTTTTCACTCAGAAAAAGGCCCCGATTTGACTTCAGGTGGGTTTTTTTTCCTAAATCTGAGCAAAATCTGAACATGAATTTAGGGACTTGGTTCTTAATCCAAACTCTCTGAAATCAATGGGAGTCAGGTGCTTGACCTCCTGAACTGCTCATGCTTCTGTGCCTCCTGGTGTCATCTGGAATTGGAAGGCAAACCAGTCTGGGTTTCCTGCCTGTATGCCTATGCAAGGCCAGCTCAGATAAGCATCCTGCCACAGTCCAGAATTTTACCTATCACTAGTTATTGTGCAGGCAGGTAGGAGAACAGTATTATTTTTTCCTTTGCAAACTAACTATATGTATTCAAAAGGAAGCAACTAGTCTTAGTGCCACTCAGAGATGGAAAGTTGTGTATTTTTCTGCAGTGGCTAGAGGCTGGACAAATGTTGATGAGGTTTAGTGGCCTCCAAACAAAAGAGGAAAAAAAACAACACGTTTCAATGTGGGGAAAGCATTTTGCAACTATCCAGGGATTTAGCTGTACCTTAAAAGATTTCTTTTTTCCCCCTACTGTATCTGCCCTGCTGGTGAAATGGCTGATCCATGATTTATTTAATTGAAAGCTGTTCAGAAGCAGCACTCCGACAGAGTCCTCAAATCTAAAGTATACTTCCAGTGTAGTCAGAAAAACAAATAGAAAAAGGTCAACCAATCCAAAAGGTTATTTGAAACTTCAGATGGATTTCAGTTAATTTATTTTCCATTGGCAACATGTTATGAAGGAGCATAATGCACCTAAAAGGATAGTCAAACAGGAAATATTTTACACACCTGACATATTTTGTTGAAAAATATACGAAATCACCCACCCCTTTTGAGATGAATGTGGTTGGAATTTTCGTTCAACCAAGTATGAAACCTGGAAATGATTTTCAAAACCAGCAAGAAATCCCTGATCATTTTAAAAGCCTGACTTGGGTCCAGTTTGTACTGCAAAGTCACATGATGCTTGTCACAATTTTTTTAGTCTCAGCATTTGTAGGCACATTTTTAAAATACCATGCGTGGAGATACTTACTTTGAGGGGGAAAGAAAAAAAAACTATCTTGCACAAAACATACACTAAGGGCACAGTTTTCTGACCAAGACTATTTTACATTCGGTTTTGAAGGGTTTGGTTTTTTTGGTTGCAGGAACATGTACAGTAAAGTTTACAGTTTATTTTCATTTTGCCAAAACATTTTCTAACATAAGAAAAGTTTTACTTTGTAATCAAAGGTTCACATCATGGAAGACCATTTATTTTTCTGTGAATGCTATTTACCATGTATGTGTGTGTGTGTGTGCGTGTGTGCGTGTGTGCGTGCGTGTGTGTGTGTGTGTATAAAATTGCATACACCCACGCACACATATATCTATTCTATACAGATTCATATATGCTACACACATATAGGTCTTTAATGGGTTTAAACCTTTGTGTCAGTTTTAACACTGTACTTTCCTTTTCTAAACAGATCATGCCACTTTACTACTAATAAATGACATATAGGGTTTTGGAGGGAGTCAACTGGCTATGATTCCATACAGGTGAACTATTTTATTCCAGAGTGTTTTTTAATTTGTTTCTGTATTTCAAAGCTGTGTATTTGGAAAGCACTGTAAATGCAACCCTATACCAATTTCCCTATGTATATTTAGTACTCTGATGTTGCTATTAAAAAACAATATGAG